AACTGGTTCATTTTGTTCAACTGGTTCATTTTGTTCAACTGGTTCATTTTGTTCAACTGGTTCATTTTGTTCAACTGGTTCATTTTGTTCAACTGAGTCATTTTGTTCAACTGGTTCATTTTGTTCAAACTTGCCGGTTTCAGTTTATTGATTTCATGGTTTTTTGCAGCGATTTCTTTTTCTTTTTCTTGTATTTTGGTTATAAGGAACATAATAAAAAAGAACGCTTCGTCGGGTAATTCACTGCTTTTATGTTTTTGTTCATCGGATATTTCACTACTTTCTTGTTTTTGTTCAACGGATATTTCACTATTTTCATGATTTTGTTTTTCTCGAAATTTTCTCAGCATTTTTATAAAATTTAACAAGCTAACCGTAGCTCTTTTTATACTTTTAGTGAATGTTTTGTTTACACCTGATCGTGTAATTTTATTGGTTATGCACGCGTACGTTGTAAAAGGGCGAATCTGGGGGTGACTATAGTTCATAGCTAAAAAAGACCAAAGGCTACTCGAAAGAGGGCGTAGAAGATTTGGTCCGAGAACCAAGAATCCTACTGCCATTAGGATCCCCGGAGTTTATTATTAGACGGTCTTTTATTATTATAACACTTCATTACTTTCCAGATACATGAAGTCAAAGGTTATTTATACATTACAGATAACCTTGGGGCTTTGCTACAATGATTAGAATCTCTAACTAATATGACTATTTAAAGGGATCTATGGCTAACGATGAATATAATCATATTAAGTTCCCACCATTGAATATCAGAGGCATCATACTATTGTTCTTCAATGGAGCATCGCCTCAAGCCAAACCAAAATTGGCATTTTATTCAATGCGCATTTCAGGTCCCGAGTCATATGCATGAATCACGTTTTTTCTGCGGCTGGGTACATTACCCCTTTACAACGTCCGCACTACTGCAAATCAAATTTACAGCTGTTTTCATAAATTCGATGAATTCGATAAGTTATTGATTTCGGGAATAATAAGATTCAGTAACAGATACGTAATTTAATATGATTTGGTGACTAATATATGAGTGCCGCCAAGGGAAAAGGGATACTTTGATCTATCGGTTTATCATGTCTGTCTAAACGGGCTTTCAATTTT